AACAGACAGGCATAAGACATACGAAGAGATTCGGGCATCTTTAGGCATAGGCATGAGTCAAATACAATCAATACTACTCAAACATTTGGGTATGAAGAAGCTGTGCTCTCGGTGGATCCCACACAATTAGTCTTAGTAAAAAAACGGATCGCGTAACTTGGTGCAATGCCATGCTTACCAGATTCAACGACGGGGCGTCAAATTTGGTGTCGGACATAGTAACAGGTGACGAAATATGGATTTATAGTTACGATCCCAAAACAAAGCAACAATCGAGCATATGGGTCTTCCGAGATGAGCCGAAACCAACCAAAGTAGCGCGCGTGCAAAGGGCCTCTAAGCGGATGATTGTTTCTTTTTTTAATAAAACTGGACACGTGGCTACTGTTGCTTTGGAGAATCGTTGTACCGTGAATCGTTGTACGTGACTGGTACGCGACCATTTGTTTAGCGGAAGTTATTGACAAACTCCGTAAAAATAACCGTAAACGCCGTGTCATCTTGCACCACGATAATGCCAGCAACACGGCCAGACAGACAAATTAATTTTTGAAGGTGAACAACGTTGACCTTATGAGCCATCCCGCGTACAGTCCCGAGCTGGCACCTTATGACTTTTATTTATTTCCAAAAATTAAGAACCAGTTACGCGTTCAACGATTTTCATCACCTGAAGAGGCTGTCGAAGAGTATGTAAAATATGTTTCAGAGATTGTCACGGAGTGCCACTACTCCGTGACTCCGTTTTTTTTTTTTTAAATGGAACCCATAATGACTTAACTAACCCTTAAGTAACCAATTTCCTCAAATATACTTGATTTCAAGAAACACACGTGATCGGTAAACAACCAACATTATACCATTCTCGTCGAATCGTAAATTTTCAGTAAATGCAATGCAATGCAATGCAATGTAGTCGAGCCGTTTTTATTCGTCACTGACCCGAGGTACTTTATAATGCCAATTTCGGCAATTATTATTATTATTACGTTTATTTTTCTCAGCCTATTGGCTGGTTTTAACTACATCTACGGAATAAAATGAAGTAAATACAGCATGGTGTGTTTCTTATATTGGAGTTCACATCGTCCTCTTGCAATCTGCGTAAACTTTCTTACAATACGGCATGTATGTAAACTTGCTTTTTGCAAGTAAATGTAGAGGGTTTCTTTAAAACCTAATAATTGAAAAAAAATGAGGCTATGGAGGATACGATTTTAAAGCTCTTTGTAAAAGAGTTCGTCCAAGGAAGTACTGCCACCTCAGTTATTTCTACCGCCAAACAGTAATGTCAGCTTTGTTGTGTTCCGGTTTTGAAGGGTAAATGTGCTGGTGAAATTACAGGCATATGGGACTTATCAACTTATGTCTCATGGTGACGGGCGCAGTGGCAGTGCCGCTCAGATCTTTGCGATTTGATATCCGAGTGGCACTGCAACTGTTATGGACAGGCGTGTAGCTTGTCGTAGGCGCACGACTTGTTCGTCCCGTTACTTGTATTATAAAAAAAAATTAAGATAACGCCGTTACATAACGTTGTGGCAAAAACAATACGGACAATTGTTGTTATTATTATTATTATATATTTTATTTAATTATTTGTTTACGAGTTTGAGCCGTCTTCGTCGTAATATGTGCGCAAGGCGAGCGTTGGAAAATATTGAGGTTTCTTTTATTGACGCGGGGCCGGTGGGGATACTTATTCTCTTAAGTGTGAGAATGATTGTGTCTATTATAACCTGCCAGAGCGCCATAAAAATAGATGGCGATAAAGATATGACATCTTCAGTAAATTGCAAAAAAACTGTTAACGACGAGGCGTAACAATAATTATAATAACCTGACAACATAACAGAGCGTCTAAAAAGTAGCATTGAATTTATTATGTCATAGATACTGCTTATTGTTTATGCCGACATCTACAGTATGTTACTTTGTTCAGCTTTTGTTGCTTATGGAAGTTTTTTGTAGCTTATATTATTTTATATTTATGTAGCACAATAAATTGAATATAGAAGTATTTCTTAATAACCGATTTCAATAAAGGAAGAGGTTCTCAATTCGATTGTATTTTTTGTGTGTGTTTACGTGATTACTCCGACATTTGTGAACTGATTTCGATGATGCTTTTTTTTTGTTGAAAAGGGGTAACGAAGTAGAGGTCCCAAATTGAAAGAGGATATTCCACTTTTAAGGCTGGCAAATTAGGGGATGAATACTGTTTTTGAATTTCAACCACTTTCCGTTAATCGATTTCAATAAAATTTGGCACTTGGATGTAATTCCAATGAAAGAATGTTATGGTGACCTAGAGCGGATCTGATCTGATGGAAATGGCAGACAGGTGAGCGGAACTCCTCACGTACGTCAGCTTCCTTGCGTTTGGGTTCATATTATTCGTTTTTACGAGGACTTCCATATTAATACGCGTTTCAGTTATAGTTGAGGAGACCATGGTAACGAACACGGCGAAATCGGAAAACTAACTTTTGACGATGGTTCTTTTAAATCAAAAAGATGTAATTATATCCATACGTTTGTGATTTTCGTAATACTTTTAACTTACTTCCTTACTTTATTATTATTTATAAATTAATAAATAAATATTAGACAACATCACGTACGTTGCTCTGATCGCAAAGTAAGTAGTTAAATAACTTGTTTCATGGAAATCGGAAACAACGACGGTACCACAAACACCCAGACTCGAGACTATATAGAAAAGTTAGTTTCCTATTTGGCAATCTCGTATTACTTGAAAACCACTTAAAAACGAACAATTCATTCTTAAATTGTATACATTAAACTGCAAATTCTGCTTTGACCACTCATCATAATATAACAGGGCTAATTGTGGCGGTATTGTCCTGGAAAATTGAGTAATTGATGGTGACTAGCTTCGATGATTAACGATTATACAGCTTGTAGGAGGATGTAGCCGCTTTAATTATACGCCAGTTGTTTCCATTAGGCAAAAAGCCGCAGCAAAAATTCTCTAGCTTAATTTGTCGGTTGCTTTATTTTTCTGCCTGATACACACTACCCGATGTTGATTATGTACAGCATACGTAACATATTATCTATCCGTAAATCCACTTAGTAATATGTAGACGTCAAATGGAGTTTAGACTGCCTCTAATTTGAACACTTTGTCGTAATTAATGTTCTTGTATTTTTAAACGTTTCTAAGGGTTAATATTAATTAAATAAAACTCATTACGCATTTAACGCTCGTTCCATTCCAATGAAAAATTCTACATTTTGACATTTGTAAACAATACCATAAACAACAAAGGAAATATGAAGAGTGTTAAAGTATTCAATGCATTCCAAAGCATATTATTCAATATCTCATGCCACCATCTAAACAATGAAATGACGTACCAACCTTAGTATATTTTATAGATATATTGTAAAGCTACACAATTTTTGACATAACTCTTCAAAAAATTCCCGTGTTTGGTTAGCGTGGATGCCTGTGGCCTTCATTTCCTATGTAGAAGAGATCCATGCTCAGCTGTGAGACGTATATAATGATAATGATAAGGGCACACACTCAACATAGCCCCACACTAGGGAAAACCTGAGTCGCGAATGCCATGGACACACACATAGACAACCACAAATTACATCCAAACTCACGAGAGAAATAAATGTAGGCCATACAAATATTCCTCCCGGCCCGGGAATCGAACCTGGGACCTCTGTGTGGCAGTCCGGCGTGGTAACCGTTCGGCCACCGAGGCAGTATATGGATTGATGGTGATAACAACTTAGAATTAAAAAATAAAAAAGAAAATAACATTTATTTCTGGCGACAACGACCCCTTAACTAAAAAAATTTGCAATTAAAATAAATAAATGTGAAAATAATTAATATAATTCCCATAAAAATCAGTCAAAAATTATAAAAATTAAAGTAAAATGGAAAAAAAAAATTTTAATAAAATGCCAAAATTGAAATTAAAAATTTCAGTTACCTACATACAATAAAATAAATAAATCAGACTAAAGTATGAGAGTTTGATTGAGCATGTTGATTTCGAATAAAACATATTGTTGTTTTTTAGTAGTAATATGATCAAACAAGCTGTGAATGTATCTCGTCAAATATGCTAAGATGGGATGTGTGTGTAAAAGGCTAACTTTTCAACTAACCATGAAATCGCCAAATTAACACATTTGATTACATCATTCAGTTCAGGCTTGTAATTAATATTCAAGAAAAACATTGTTCTAAATGAAACATTTAATTGAGTACTAGTTATACTACATTTTCTTTCATTAGTTTCACAGAGTTCCGTGCTTTACTATGTAATTTAGTATGGATTGTTAATTGGATTATTAATAATTATGATAACAGTAATAACGCACAAACTCTCATAGCCCCGCATTAGGGAAACCCTGTATCGCGGGTGCCATGGACACACAGATAACCACAAATTACACCCAAGCTTGCGAGAGAACTAAATGTAGACCGTACAAATATTTCTCCCGGCCCGGGAATCGAAGCTGAGACATCTGTACGAGACCTGCGTAGTAACGACGTAGTAGTAGTTACGGAGGCAGTTATTTAATTGTTAATGTAAAAATACGCATGGAATAAAATGATATATTATAATAAGTAAGAGATCGTTTCCTTGGAATAGGATATTGCTTTTTATTAAGCAAATCCCATAAATTGTATTGAAAAACTACCTGTATTCAGAAACATCTGAGTAGAGTATAAATGTAGGTGGAAGTAAATGAAAAAACATAATATGGTCGACATCATCTTTATGTAATTCACTTAATAATAAAGACGTAGCAAATTACAAAAAACGAGTTTTTCTCAAGACTTAAGTACTTGGTGACCTTCATGTGAACTTGAAGTTACGCCTACATGCGGTTTGGTCCTTGTTTATTATTGATGGCTCTGCGTTGGTCCATTATTTACCTCCTTGTCAGCTATATTTATATCTACTGTGTAATTGTAGGACACTGATAATCGTCGTCTCTTTGCGCGCGCGCCAATCGTGACTCATCGGTAAGCGTTCTGCGCACAATGCCGTCCGAGCAGTCCAGTCGCGACGCGGCATACTTAGAGGGCACACATGTCATTTAATTCACGTTTTTCCGTTGGGTACGATCGACGGAACTTTAAATTTTTGACTTAAGTTGTGAATTAAACGTTGGTAGCAGAGACAAGTGAAATCTTAACTTTGACGATGACTGCTGTGAAGAAGGTACTGGCCATGCGCCAGCTGGACTCTATGTTTGGAAACATGAATATAGATGGAGACGGCCGGCGCTCTCCGTATGTAAGCTCTGTGATAGAGCACGACCCGCATTGTGATGTGCATGGCTCCAGCCGATGCAGCACTCCTTACCGTTCTTCACTCTACCTTCACAGCAGAGAGTCTACTCCAAGTTATTACAGAGATTCCGTTTCACCTTCAAATGGCCTAATTATCAGGTCTGTATCATACTTAATTTCATTTTTTTTGTTTGAAGTACAGTTCTCTTGTCCTATTTTTAATGAGTAATGTAATGAAACAGACATCGTGATTCACTGGGCATGTCCGGTTCACCGGTGCGAGAGATACAGCATCCTTCAACGTTCCCGAGCTTGCTACGTCGCGAACGGCACAGCCCGTCTGTAACTCCCCCTCGCCGCGAGACGCCCAGTCCCACTCACAGACACAATAAGAGGCATTCTATGGGCTCCTTTAACAACCTTACTCGAAGCAACATAGTCAACTACAACAGAAGGGATTCACTCTCCGGCAATGGAGTTAGAGACATGAAACGTGACTATGTTGGCTCCACCAGCTCATTGTCTAGAAAAAGCTCCATAGACACAAAGAAATCGTCATCTGACTCTCTGGACAATTGGCACATCACATGGGATTCGGACCGAAATAATTCAATATCTTCGAATGACGAAAGGCTGTCATTTGGATACAATAAGGTAATTACTTCAAACAGTATAAGCCACTGTTTCAGTGCTCGTGACGGACTGCTATTCATTTGGACAATTTATTCCAATGATTGCAAATTGGTTACCTCATTATGACACTTGACCATGGCGTCCATTCATGATTGTTTATAAGGAAAATACATTGTTCATGTCTTAAAACTCATATTTTCCATATTGAGTTTGTAAAGGACATTGTTTCTCTTCTCCACTCGTGCCTTTGATTATTGACTAAATCTTGTACTTTGGAGCCATCCGTGCAGATACATGAACATAGTATGTTCAGTATAATATTTTCGTAGCATATTTATTTCCCAAAATATAAGTAAGGTCGTGTAACACAAAGAAATAGCCATCTACTAAATACTTGTAAAACCGTGCAACAAAATAGAAATTACAAACTGAACCCTGCAACTATAGTAAGTTAAGTATTTTTTTGCATTCTAATTTCTAAAAGGCATTGTAATATGTTAATAGTTAGTAGTGTTGTTAATAGTTTGATATTATATAATATCATAATATCAAACTATTAACTCCCTTTATATTCTAGTAAATTCATTGCAGTACCTATCGCTACATCTCCAATATGCATGTTGCAAACTTAGCATTCCCGGTATCTTACGTATACATTATGTTATTCTGGACCTGCGTGCAGCGGCTTAAAGTTTATACAACAGAATCACGTTATCGAAAATAAGTAATTACTGTTACGATTTGATATCGTAACTTAGGTATACGCAACTGTAACTTAAAATTACGCCGCTAAACTTCTACAACCGGTAAGACAATAAACATTTGCTAAAGTTTACAAGTTTGATATTGAAACAGGTAAAGTCAACTAAGTGAATATAGTTTTGAAATGTATTTTGTGAAGTTTATACGGACTATAATGTCTTAAAATGTTATTGTTTCTCTTGATAAAATCGCTACAACGTCGGAACGAGAATTTTATTCCGTACGAACGTAATTCAAATTATTTAAAAGCTATGTATTCAAATGTTAGTCACAGTGATTGTTAAAGTATATGTTGAAAAGTAACGTTTCTAGAAATGTGCTGTCACTGAAGTAGCAGCACTATATGGCCAGGTCGCTCTACATGGCTCGCTAGTAGGGAGATGGCGCGCGGTGCGTTCGTTGTCGACCAGCGCGGCCATACATGGACATGACGCTGCTAAGTAGCACCCGACACGGCACGACACCACTAAATCATTATTATACATATTTACATTTTATCTCGCACACCACTGCAATATTTACGCAGTCAGCTGTCTTTTACCAAGTCTTTTATTTGGATATTACTCTTTGAATTTCGGAGTTATGATTTTGGGTTATTTTAACTATTCAGACGCACACGACCGCGTTGATTGTCAATACAAGAGACAAGGGCATACTTAATGGACATCGAACGTAGGTCAACCAAACAAAAGTAACTTAACGAACACGGATCGGGTGATCACCATCTGTGAACTACATGAGTTAATGATACAGTATAACTCAAAAAATATTGTAAACCGCTTCTAACGACGTGCTATGCAAATACAACATTTTGTTTAGTACATTCTTAATTGTCGTTTGCGTTGTAAGGCAAACACGAATGCAAAGTAACCAGTAGCACCTACTTATTACATCTCAGTGACGTACTTTTGGCATTGCAGATTTTGCCGTTAAATACCACAAAAAACATTATATTAAAATGGATTCAAGTTGACTTTAGGCAGTTGTTAAGCTTATATTATCTATAATCGAAATCAATGCCAAGTCGAAAAAACTATAGTTGCAAAAAACTTAATGAAAACACGAGTTAATCATATTAACTTCAATATACAGTAATGTTGATGACTCAACAGTTACATCTCTGCCATTGTCGTTCCGTATTAACTAAGAAAAAAATCTTCATAGGGAGTCGGATTAAAACGACGGAAAACGTTTTATGATAAAAACTACATTTCTACTTATTGATTGGCATTTAGCAAGGTTCTTGCAGCTTATTTATCCACTTGATCCAGGGCCGCATAAAGTGCACTGTTTCAAAAGGTACCTTTGTTGAATTGAAACTTGACACTGTCGTAAATCTACAGTTTGACCCCCTCTTGACATGTTAATCTAGATCCAATTGGTTTAAATACAAAGGCAGCGGAATGCGATTCGGTTAAACTATTTGATAGTATCTACCAACCACATCGCTGTTTACTTCCCCCGTACACTGCGAGATTTACGAAGCAAACTGTGAGTCACTATGAAGTCATGCTCTTCAGCCTGCTGGCTGTAAGCTAAAACTTACGTAACGTTCGTGTTTATAGATCTATTATATTAATTGCCTTACTTGATCACTTACACTTCTGTCGTTCAATAGATGTTTTTACTTATTTTTTTGTGGAATATTTCACTTCTTTTGTTTATTAATTGTAGGGAAAGCATGCAATTCGATTTTTTGGTATTTAAATATGTCTATAAACCACCTCATAATTATTTAAGATTGCTTCTATAATGTTGTTTATATTATGAAGTATTGTGATAGTTAGATGAATTGAGGATAGCCTCATCGCTGTAACCCACATAATTTTTTTTCCCACAATATTACATTATATGATACTAAAGCACGTAATTATTTTATATTTGGATGCTATTTTCATGAATAAAAAAAAACTAATTATTAAATTTTTTATACATTAAAATTGGATCCAAATATAAAATAATGATGTGCTTTAGTATCATCTAAATATTGTAGAAAAGAAAAATATATAAATATGGGTTACACCACTTTTGCATTGATAGGCTCAATAGAATATTTTAAATTTATAATGCATTTTGTATAATTGAATCAATACATTAATTTGCCGTAACATATTTAATTCACAAGCATGTTATGTAAAGTAACGATGATGTTATTGTAATTATTTATTCGTTTTTCACGCGTAGGCTGAAATTAAGATTATGATCAGTTTCTTCTGACATAAACTTGTTTGTTATATGATCTGTATACGGCACAGCCTTGAAAATCCCTCGTTACGAATATGGTGACTAATTAATTTTTGAATTTTCCATCGTTATTTCTAGACTAAGCGTGGGTGCCTACGTACGGAATATACTCTGTATATTAATGATTTATTCTCCCAACTCGTAAATAATAACATTTTCAAATTAATAATTAAAATTTCATTATACCACACAAGTATTACGAAACGCTTCTGTTCAATACATTATATTTCATTAGTCAGTGGGGCGTAAAAGAAGCGAAAGTTTGCATGCGCGTAAGATGATTAAAGCTACATTCATTGTACTTGTTGGCTAACATGTCGGAAAAAGTGTTCGTCAACGTGGTCGCATTGTTTTTTAACATAGCTAACATTCAAGTCAATACCGTTTAACTTTGTCCAGGCTTACTAACTTGGCTGTTTGCTCCTAAATTAAGGAGGAAATCACGAGTTAGCAAGTTCACTGTCTATGTTTTAAGCAATGATAGTATAGTTAGCTGAACGTTACCCTCTTACGTAGGAGATAATTTGTTCTACTCCCACCGGGGCATGCATCACTGAGTCCTTTTCCAAAAATGTGAAAGAAAAACCATATCGAAACCTGAATCGTGCTAAAAAAAGTCGTCAATCTGAATTGGGTTAGGGTGGTGGACTATGACTAAGTATTATACATATGGATAAGCATAAACAGGAACCCGTGCCCCTGATAATAGTTTATGGTTATTAGGGTTCATATATAATTTGTCTTCAAAGAACAATAATTAAATGGAAGCCTTTGGCCCTTTGTCATGAATTGGTGAACAATGTTAATCCATTGTTTAGACAACAGGCGACGTTATTTTTGACATAATTAACACTACTTGCTCTTTTTTTAAATTTTGAAGTTACATAATTAAAAAATACGGACGACACAGCTAGCATGCTCACCAGTGAATAGTGTCCTTAATATTGTATCCAACTTAAGCTTCTTTTTATGCGTCATGTAGGTACTTTATATGTCACATTCAAATGTGTGCAATTAATACCTGAAGCGTATTAATTGTGAAGAAATGAATTCGTGATCGAGATCTACCCTGCTTACGCATTTAACAATTAAATCACGTCCACGAATTATATCTTTACGCTACAACTATGTTTTACAATTTATTCACTAATCAGGGTACGTGTAACCATCCAAATGAATCTGCAGTAGAAAGTGCACTAAAGGCACTACCTGACCCCGAGTGAGAATTCTACAACTGACAGACAAAATGTGTACGAGTAAAGGCGGCACGAACTCAGTTGCAGTAATTTGTTAAGTTTTGTGTCGCTCTGTGACGACATAGCGCAGTTAAATGAAGAGATATCTACTAGCTGGTTAAAAGCGGTATCTGCGCGTGTAGAACGCGTTGACCGCGCACGGACTACCCCTTTCACTTGTATTCGCATTCAGCGGATCGAGCGGAACGCGAGAACGCCTTTCTCTATGTTCTCATCTCTGTCTAACGCGCGGCGTCGTGGTGGTGCAGCACTGGTGGTGGGCCGCCGCACTCCGCTCGCTGTCCGTGACAACAGTAGCGAAGTTTCCTCGAATACATCCGCACGGAACCGACTCCGCGCTCGGATGCTCTGTTGTGATCGGACATGAAGTCCAAACCGGCACACTACGCAGACGCGCCATTTAGACCCTGGCCACCACTTGTCCGCCAAGGCCATCCAAATTTTTATTTCCGCCCACCTGATCCAATGGATTTAAGAAATTTTAAAACGTCGTCTTCTAAAGGTTCCACATATTCGGATTTTTCTGGAATGAGTGCGTACAGTAATAAGTCACGTGACTATTACTTTTTGTCGCCAAGTTATCGAACGACTGTGGCGCCGACTTTGGGTAACCACGCAGATCTGTACCTTGGGAGAGAGAGATCTCGTCAGACCCGACACCCTAACCCAGCACCTGTTTCCACCGTCTGCCCCTGCAGCCGTTCGCGCTCCCTCGAAGACGTCCGGACAGATATTGTTACTGAGTGGGAAGACGACGACGAAAACGGCAATCGCATTGTTGCACCTGCTACTAAGTTCAACCGCAACTCGTACAAAAGCAACACTGTCTTCCAAAAACAAGGATATCACAGTCGTCATTCAATGGAAAATCTAGTCGACAGACCTCCGCAGGTGTTACCCCCCAAACGTATTTCCGCTTTTCAGGTAATTTTCTATTCGCAATAATAGGATGATATGATCATAAGTACTTACTTATGATGTATAAAAAATAATTATTTTACCAAAGGTTTACTATAATGTTTGTAACGTTGAAGTTGGAAGTTGGTGTGTGCAACTTTCTAGACTACATACAACATAACATAATGATTGCTGCTGGCTGCAAATGCGAAGTAAATTGTCATTGAATAATTTAGCGTTATGGCGAGGCGAGTGCATACATTTTAACGCGTGGAACACGCGTCGACAGAGTTTTCAATAAAATACTATGGGAATGGGAACCAAGCGACGGCAGCAACGTCAGACCCCGTTCAGCTCCGGTGAACCGCAACACACCGTCCTGCGTGTAACGGATGTGTTCAATACAAGTATATCATATAATTTATGTATGTACGTACGTATATAGAAGACCCTTAAACGCAACAGTAATATGTATCAACTTTGTGTAAAGTATTATTTTGCAATTCAACTGTTTTTGTTATCTTTTGCTTGCGAATTTGGGTTTCCAGGTAATTCGGGCAGCTTTTTGTTGTATTACCTGGTCCGCTTGTGCAATGTGAGTGTGAATTCTCTTGTGGAAATTGTATTGTTTAATATTATGGGCGTTTCGGATTTTTTTGTGATTGCGTAAGAGTCCGTCGTCGTGTGAAGAGGCTAACATCTGGCTACAAGTATCAATCTACTTTTTTCAATGTATATGGGTTCGTGCTTGATTGTATTGTAATAGAAAGGTGTATATTGTATTTTCTCAATCTCTCTGTCTCTCTCTCTCTCTCTCTCTCTTTCTCTCTCTCTCTCTCTCTCTCTCAATATATCTCTATTTTTCAATACAAGTAAATACCATAACCAATGAGTTTAATTAATAATAATTTAATGTACTAGACAATCACAACAATTAAAAACAAGCAATTCCTTACACTGTGAGTGCCAGAGCAACAGAAACCACGCACTACATAGGAACACTCAGACTAGAATCAGTTTAGATATTTCATTACCAAAATTGGTCCTGGAATCTGAGAATTGAAAATGGCACTTCATCCACCACCCACAGCGCAGACCGTTGGCCACAGAGGTCGTCGAATTAATATATTATTGAGTTGATGATATATTTATACGATTAAGAAGCAACCCCTTTAACGGTTTGCGACCCAATATCCTAAATTGCATAATTTATACAAGGCTTTACACCAATATTTGGACTCAAATAATGTAAGTAATTAATTATAGTCGGATCGAACATTAGATTGGGTTCAAAGTAAATAAATAGAAAGTTGAGCAATTCAGAAATAACTTGAATAATCCGTGAAGCGTTGTAATCTTTGAAGATACCAAATTATATTGATGCAAAAAAAGTTACAATAACTAACGCATTCGTAATATACGTCATCCTATTAGTCGTTCTTACTAATAAAGTAGATGACGACGCTTAAAGTGCAAAACGACAAACATAAAAACTTGCTAACTTTTAAACTTGACTACTCACGAACATTGTTTGAGTTCCTATGGAACCACAGCGTTAAGTAAACAAAGTCAGACGCAAACGTCATTGCAAAGAAATATCGTAATTGGTAAGATAACTTTCTATTACAACCTGACAGTTTGGCTGTGGAGTGAGATGCCACAGCCTGACTGATTTGAGCTGGATAGAACTTTCTTCTGTCTGGAGGTATCACAATTAAAAGAAAATTGTTATCGGTCAACGGCATGAGCCTTTAGCTAAAGAAACTTGTTTTCAATGCGCGGTCAGCCCATGACTTGTCAATGGATATATATACGAGTACAACCAGTTTCATTGTATAGTTGCAGTTTTACAACCTTGTCATCGAATGTTGATCGATAGAACCAACAAGCTCTTGGTTACATAACGATTACTATTTCTCCACGCTTTCGAGAACGTTTTTCTTCAAGTCATTTATTTACTTTAGATAACTAGATTACTTTTTACTGTGATCTTTTATAATGTTACTTCTGACTTTTGTCATTTCACCTTTAGTCAAAATATGGACGGGTCGTACGTCCATAACATTTAATTTATTGTTCACCTTATTAGGTGATCTCATTTGTTTGCACTCCCATAAATTGCCTCTCTAACGAAAACATCGTGCGCAGACACGAGAATCATGATTTGCCTCGTGTTATTCTCGCATCCTAATTAACTTTATTGATATAAGTTGTAGATTTCGGTGTCGTCAGTTATTTCTATTGTTGGCAATTGTTCGGCGTAGTGTGGTTGGTGATATAGAGGTGAAATATTAACCCGTGGAAAGGTAAGAGGCGTGTGTTGTTGCACTAAACCGCATCCGTGTCTTGTCAGTCGCACACAATGCAGATTGATGCATTATTGTGCACCGCTATTGATGCGTACATGAAGCAAGAATGTAAGGTTGTTATGGTCTCGACGTTTAGGAGTAACAGTTGTTATGACTCTACCAACAATAGCGTTTGCAATATTTTGGTTTCCACTATAATCGCGTTGTGTTGCAAATAGACAAATACATCATCATAAGTGTCTAGGGATCATGCACGTTTTTGCTAATTACTGAAAATCAAGTTTTTTTAAAAGTTTTTTTTAACACCAATGGATTTTTTGGTCTATTTCATTTTCAAATTCAAATTTTATTATTATTTATTATGATATAATTCGTCGCCTTATTTTCTCAAACTCGAATCTTAAAACACAAAGCTACTGAAATGCAAAAAATGGATTTCACATCACATTTACTTAATATTCACACACTGGCTTTTTTGTATTCTTAAAGTAATGCATCCAAATTAACACCCTTAATAAGAAATTTTAAATAAATGGAAAGTTTTGCCGCCTCCTGACTAATCACTCTTTATAAGACACGAGTTAGAGAAAGTAGGGCATCGAATTTAATTTTAAATTAATACCCTGTTTTGATATTTTTTGAAATTTAGATCAAGGTTTCAAAATTATCAAGATATTTATTTATTATTATCGTGATAATTATCCGATAAATATACATGCTGATTCAAAGTTTTGTCTTTTTAATTTTTGTCTAAAAATGACTAACAGTGAGAATATTAAAAAAAAAACAAGAAAAATCTCTGGGAAAACGGATTGGTTTGTGAATTTTGAGAGTGCTAAAAAAGTCACAAAACAAATCTTTTTCCCAAAGATTTTTCTAAATATTATTAAAAATGCCTTATCAAGTCATATCTTAAATACATTTAACAGGTTTGGATATGTGTCTGTTACGAACACATACTCGTAACAATCACGACATTGTTGGCGGTAGCATTTTGTTGTTCTAATTAATTTTATAAGTATCAAGATCTATTTACCAAGGTATATTTATCAAGATAACTATCGCGGTAATTGCCATGATATTTTACACCGAACCCTGATTTAGATTAATACAATGTATTGTATGCATTGCTACTATTACATTCATGATTGTTTTCGATGAGCAATTTGCGAGTGTGTTGCACACAAACGAAGACTAATTCAGTCTTTAATATGACACGATGATATTAGACGACTTAGATAGGTACTAATATTTAAAATCGTTATTTGACATTATCTCTGGCGACGGCTTAGGCCTTAAGTTCCCAAAATTTTTGGCTTACACCACACCACCACAACAAAATCACAAGGAAAAAAGTTATGTTGTATTTAGTTTATAATATAATTTAGGTTTTATTTTCAATTGCGGTACCACGCCCTAGATAGCATCAAGCCCCCCAAAATTGCTTTCGAAGTCCCTACCGACCCTCTAGGACTCTTCGGCGCCCACTGGGGTGCGGTAGGGACCACTTTTGAGAACTATGATTTAGGCCATACATAGTCCGCCACGTTGGCCCGATACGGGTTGGGGGCTTCACATGTTTGCCGATGGTTGTGAACCTTCTTCGACGTGCAGATTTCGTCACGTTGTTTTCCTTACCGAAAAGCTGATGGTAAATTTGAAATAAAATTTCGCACATAAATTCCGAGAAACTCAGGTGCGAATCCGGATTCGAACATACGTACTCTGCTTGAAAGGCCAAAAGGTCAAACCATTAGGCTACCACGGTTTTTTATTTGACAGTTTTCGTTTAAAGTTACGCGGGCTCAAAGAATCGTATATTTTTACTAAAATGTATTAAAATGTATAGGGACTGACAATTCTAGGATAAATAAGATAAATAAGCAGACTTAAGCAAATAAGATAAAAATTAAACAAAATCTGTTGTTCTGTGTTGTTTATAATATCGGAAAATGTGAAGAGAATGTTAAGATTAAAATGATGCTCTAGAATGAAAGTTCAAACAAATGAATTTTTACTTATATGCTTTAGTCGGTCGATGTATTTATTACTAATGATGTTGGTTTTTACTTATGTGCTTTTAGTCCGCCGACCCTAGAATTATCATTTTCATTTTTTCATGTTTCCAAGAGTAATGTTTTTTATATTTATATGTTTTACTTAGCCGTGAGCGATATTATTTAATTGACATGAAACTTCGAAATATAAAAAAAATTTCGCTGAAATATGACCAAACGAATGCTATCTGGCCCATGTATCTATACTCGCGATACGGGCGACAGACAGGAACATTGTTATAAAATATTGCCTAACCTTAGTTTAAATCATTTTGTTCATACCAAAACTGTGATTGGAACCTTCCTGTTATCTGTAAATATTGCACTATTTATACGTTCTGCATTTTATGTACATGTACAAAAGCACTATCTTTTTTGTATACAAAATTTAATCCATATGGATGTTCACAGGCACATAACAAGAATGGCGGGCATCATAACGCACCCGTATCTTCAGGGCCTGTGGGCGTTGGTGCAGAGGTTAACAGTTCAAGGCCTACATTCAAACCTGTCACGGTTCTTGAAGACTTACAAGCAGTACGTTGTGCTGAGTTCCACCCAAGTGGTAAACTATATGCTGTTGGCTCCAATACCAAGACATTAAGGATATGCACGTACCCAAAAGTTGAAGATATCAAGTGAGTATCATTTTCTTTTATTTACACAACGACAACTACAACTAATTATGCTTGTTGTTTATCTACGCAGGCAGTTTTTTTAATCTATCGCTTTTCAACACTCTGAGATACCCTCCACTTTGCATGGTCACTTCTCTTTTCTAAGCCGTGGTAACGTACGATTTAAATGACGTCCGGAAGGCCGCTGGCCGTCCGTGTTATTTATTTCAGTTTTCTAATTCGCTTCTTGTCCTCTGTCGTTGCCACTCTTCTGTCTTCTCTACCTAGCGTGTTCCTTATGCATATGTGTATCTTATTAATTAGTAGCAATCATCTAGATTCAATAAGGCAATGACAAAAGCTCAAGTCGTAATCAAAAAGTAAAAACTTGGCGTATGAAGGCTTATAATTTGTTGTTATAAAAGCCATATAAGTGTTTATTAGTGTGGATTAGGGTACTTACAAGTGCTTAACTCTTATGAGTGTCATATTGTTACTTTATTTATATTACATACAATCTATTCCTGTACTAGTTTTACTATCACAGGCACAATGTATATGCAATGTATATTCGACGTAATAAAGGCAATTTCAGGGCAGTAGTAGCTTTTTAAGTTATTTAAGAGACCTAAACTTATAATTGTCATTTTGACGTTGTTAAGCGATTAATTTCCATGTTAAAGCATTATCTGGATATGTTAATAAGGACATCATTCTTGTAGCCGGTGTGTAATGGTCCTACAAAAAAATATTATATCTTCAATGCTTATGAAACAAAACTTTATACCTGACAACCATTTTGATAAAATGGCAATTATTGTGATATATTTGTATGCAGCTGTTCATACTTTTAATAGGTATTACTGCTGCAAAGATAAAAAGTAAATTACACAACGTATGTAAGGGGACTGACTATAAGAACCTTTTATAAAAGCAATACTTATTTATTTACGGTCGACATATTTAAGGCTTTGAGGTTCTTTATTTACTAATCAAGTAAAACGTAAACTCTAAGCTAAGTGAAATTTTGCTTACAGAACTAGATTAATTTTATCACCTACATAAAGTAAGGCGGCTTTCTGACAAGAAAAGATGTTTTATAGTTATACGATTCCCAATGGTCTTGGAATTGGAAATATTTTGCACTCATCTGTATCTCTATCGCCATCATTGTCTCCTTTTCAAACACCTCGCTAAAATAATTTTGTACGGAACTACCAGTCTCGTCGTTAGTGTCGTGGTTAGTCGATAACGTCAGAGAAGAAGAATTGGCAGATGTAGGAATTGTTTCCCTGCTCTCGTATTTTTTTGGAAACCCTTCTCCGATAACCACCATTTCTCTAACACACAAGCACCTATCCGACCATGCGTTGCACTTCAAAATGGCTGTCTTACTTATGTAAATAAAAGTAATAAAACGATGTTAAGAATGATTGATACTCTTGTAATAACTATATTAGTGATTATGAATTGCTTAAATTCTTATAAAAGCCACATAGCTAACAAGTATTCATTTTCTTTATTACAGACGTCTTATAAAATACCTCTGTAAGATTCATAACCTTCTTTTAACAGTGCCAACTTCTTTTATAAAGTCTTTACGGAGACCTTTATATAGCTGTAAATATTATACAGCAAATAAGCAGTAATATTAACCTTTATAAAGGGAATAAATTTTTTGTAGTCATAATATTTGACTTTAATAACATTTATATGATAAGATTAGTGGTATATAAGCCAAAACCTCTTGTAACGAGCACATCAAAATATGAATGTTTTCATACATAAGTTCCGGCCACATTGCCCTAAATAAAACCTCATTTGCTAGTTGGGTATATATCCAGTAAAGATTACGCCAATTGCCGTTGTGAAAATCTGAATTACCAATGAATGTTTTGAATACCAATCGGGGATGTTAATGTCACACTTTGTTAAAATATGTCGGGAAAGGCTACAAGCAAAACTAACGGCATGTGAATATTAAGTACATTTTAGGCTTATTTGCACAACGCTATATACAAACTAACCAATTAGCAGCATTAAAATGTTCGTTGCATAAATTGGGTTCTAAATATACCACTATTCAAAGCTTACAAATGGGACTGTACGTTTTTATTTTAAGGCTTTTGAATAAAACAATAGGCGCCATATTGCGGCAAGGGAAAATAAATCTGCCGAAATAATAGGCTCGCATATAAATACGAATTCAGTAAATGTTCTGTAACGTGTAATGTCAGATTTCTTGCGACCTCCTCTCGGCCCTGGACTTTCCACGATAACCTTGCCGGAATCCATGAACCTCGAATGCATTCGGCGTCACAAGTTTATTTAAACATTCTTCCTTAAAAACTACTAAAATTTAAGTAAGTTTATTTCAGAATTTAAATGTTATTGCTGTTGGCGTTCCTAATGGAGCCTGTTAATACATTTTGAAATATACTGCCAGTTGACTAACGCTTAGGTCATTGACACGTGCACAATCGATATTCACTCGATGTTCAGAATCATTATTCTAGACGATATGTTTGTTGCTTTGCATAGATTAAGACACGTGGGTTTTGATCTAGACATATACTCACGAATTGTCACTTTCACTGTAGGCTAACAACTTCGAGGTTCTAATACACTTTCAATTATGGACCGGCGCCATCGATGCCAGGCCGACCGTATGCGTACGCTTAGGTATGTTGGCTGTTGGATGACTATTGAACCGAAACAGGATTTGTTTAAATTTTAAGTTTTAAATATATTGCTAAAAATATAAGAAATAGAATAGTTTATTCATTTTTTTCCAGTTTAATTCATTGTATAAACCTGTTCATTAGCCTTGAAGAATACGTTATAGTTCCTACTATCTAAACTCAAGGCTATATGAATCCGTGAAAGCGTCTCCCCAATAGCATGTACATGACTTGGAAACCGAATCTCTTACGATATACCCGCTAAGATTACGTCGTTGCCTGCTACAGATGTCTATGTTACCGAATTGACAAATGTGCATTAAATAGAGTGACACAGCATTATGAGGCAAAGCAATATATGCTCTCACTTTAAGTAAATGGGGGGATAATGACAGCGCGCAGTACTCTTTGACGTTTTCATGGTTGCCGGTGAAAGATCTATTTTCAACGCTTTTATTTACGATAATTTTGAAACATGTATGTCGTGTTCCGCATTGATATAACGTCCTTCTTTTAACCTTTTGGATTGACATGCCTCACAATTCCAATAACAAACAAACTCAACATTCGTACAATGTGACTTTTGCAAACATAAAACACTGTGACTGATAACCCTATCTACACACGCTTAGGTAAATAGTGACAACAGAAAACTGTAAGTGTGACACGAAAGCAGTTATATTAACGACCTTTTACATTGCAGGGAATGGTCAAAGCAACTTTTGTTTTGGTCACTAAACCGCGACTGGTAGGCGGCGACAGGTCACCCAAAACTATTACATTACCTTTTTCTCGACATTTTAAAACGAGGTTCTAATGGTATGCCATTACTAAACTCAAGATAATGTACATGTTCATTGTTAAAATAAATTTAGTAGTTTTGTAACCAATTGCCAAAACGTCCTTTCAGCGGAACCTCAAGGCTTCTTTTTCTTTTTAATTTTAAATACGCTATTTAGTCATTGTCACGGAATATCGGCGTTAAAACAGTTTATGGCTCTGATGGAATAATGGTGAAAGCTTTATGCCAAAATTCTTTGTGTAGATTATGGCGTGTTCAGGCTCTTTTACTTTATGCACTATGAAGTCACGTATGAATCTAAATTGAAAACAACAAATGTCAAGTTTTGCTCTCTACGCAAATCAGCGTCCCATTGTGTCTTGTAGAATACTACGCAAAAGTTAATTCACTCGACAAACTTCTGCCGCTTTCCGAATAAAGTTTCTCTTGTGTTTTTATGTCGCAATTGTGGGTGTATTTCTGTATTCTACGATTTCAATATACCGTTTTCCTATTTTGACCCAGACTTCTTGGTTGACAAATAGCCTCGTCCAACGGTACCGGGACAAAGTCAGTCATCGTATATGAGCTCATTCTGGCTCAGTCTGTCTAGTAGCATTCAAACTTCGAAAATGTCTTACAGTAGGAAAATATGCGTGTTTACTTTCTCGTCAAACCACTGTTGTACACACGTTATTATCGACGACCTCATTGGTTCAGGGTTTTCGATTTGTGGTAACGCCTGTGCAGGAAACGTGCTTTATTGGTTTATGTCTCACCGTTGTTAGTATCTACATTAAGACCAGCACCAGTGGGACGTGTAACAGGTTGGTAATGCTGTTGTTAGTAGCTCGATGGATTTTTAATTTGAACTTTAGTTATCGGTGATATGGATTAAAGTCGTTTTGGTTATCTTTTTTGCTAATGTATGATTATTTGTTTGAACAGAGACAACAGCACACCAATCGCGCCCACAGTGCTTCTAAAGCGCACGAAGCACCATAAGGGCAGTATTTATTGCCTAGCATGGAGCCCTGCTGGTGACCTTCTTGCCACGGGCTCCAACGACAAAACTGTTAAATTGATGCGGTTTAACAGCCACACGTGCAATCTTGAAGGACAAGAGGTATGTCATACAAACAATTATTATACATTATTTTTAGACTATTACTGCATTTGACAGATAGAAATATAGAAATAGCAACATATTTTTGTATTTTTTTTTAAAAAAAACCTTATTTAAAGTGTATAAACGTTACATACAATTTTTTTGAATATCGAAAGTTAATATCTTACTTTTGATGGTCTACAAGACGACAGCTATTATAGCATCAGTGAATTAAAAAGTATTTAACATCTTTGATACATACATGTGATGAAAACTAGTACATGCAAGTGGAATTGGTCTATTCACAGTTTGATAATTACTTCAATAATAACACAGTTTCAAAGTATGCGGTCGATTTTTTAATGAGGATACTTTACGATCCGAGATGGTTGGTTACAACGTCATGTTGCGTCACGACTGTGAACCGATTTTGAAATAGCTATGTGTGTACGTTCGGCTAATATGTAAGAATAGAACAATTAAATGAATAAGGTCCGCATTGTGGGTTGCCACTCGAGGTACTTGAACGAGCTTTAAACTAAATTCAATTTACCATTTAACCGAACGCTGAGTGAAGTGTAGTTTCGTAATTCAGCCGAGTACCCATCGCGATGATTCGGGACGTTCGACCGGGCTGATTGAATTTGTGTGTCATTGGCTGTCAATCGGCACCACTATCTTCCTATTGCTTAAAGAGCCTGAAATGGGAGAGACAATTCGTTCCAATAGCTCCACGTCGATCTATATTACGGCATCAATTACGTGTGTTTAAACCCAGTTCAAACGTATCATTTGTTACCATAAAGAAATACAGTGTAGTGTACGTTGTTAGGACTGGGCTCTGTTTTTAACTGACGTCAAAAATGTGGAGGTTCTCAATTTGATTGTATTTTTTTGTGTGTATGTTACGCGATTACTATTTGTGAACCGATTTTGTTGATTCTTTTTGTTGGAAAGAGATACCTCAGTTTTCATTGGTCCCATTTAAATTTGAAGAAAATAATCTATCTGTAAAGGTGGCAAACTAGAGGATGAATCCGGTTTTGCGCAATTTCTGGTAACCGATTTAAATAAAACAAATAAGCAAATAGATTTAAATAAGCAAATAGATTTAATTTCACAAACTTTTGAGGTAATTTTTTTTAATAAAAATTATAATAAGTTATAATTCAACATTGGACCAATACTGACTTATTAATTAGTTACATTGGATTGTAATTAATAATTAATGTACCAAAAATTAAATGAAAACCTTTCTTGTTTTCGTGTTCTACCTACCGTATTTTAAAAATTATTTGCAATATACTAGCTACCCATAGCACAGGGAACAGTTTCGGAGCACAACAACTTGTACCCATTTTTGAGTCTTTACAATAAATTTATTACTACATTATACATATATCTCAACACGTTACCGTCTCTTGTTTTGATGGTTCCTATCAATCTACATTGACGACTCACGTCATTATAATATGTATTGTAAAGTTATTTGTTTAACGCAAATATGTATCTTATGATATACATAGCTATTACCTTGACAAATTTGCCTGATACCGATTACTTGCCTTTTTTGATAATTTAATAGCAATAACACCCAATTATCGGTTTATGACGTCCCAATACATTTAATAACATTTCTGTTAAATTTCATTAGTCATCTATCAGTCGCTATTATTCACAGGATTATTATGTCATCGTTTTCAAGAAATTAACGTTAACGAGTTTTGCTATTCGCATATTCATGAATGAAACACCAATGATGAGTTTGATATAGTTGAAAGTCCTTTACGCTTACGACGAGGAATATAACTTAGTAAATACCGAAGAAAGACGCGCAGTTGAAAGTTGCTTACGAGAAACGTTGAGTCGAGAAGTTTGTACGATGATAGCTCTCTACATTACAGTATGAAACTCGTTTAACTCTCTAGATTACAAGATGAAAATTCTCATGACTTTTGTTCCTTTTAATGCATGCCCACCAGATATTGTCTATGCTGTAGTATTAAACTTTAAAATTCAGGAGTTGAAGAACATTTCGGCACTTTTCGTGTGTGTGTGTGTATGTGTGTGTGTGTGTGTGTGTGTGGCATGTTAAAGAAATGTTTGCAAATGACTTAAATAAAAATGATGTAGTATATTCTTCTAGTGTAAAAAGCGTACTTATAGTTAATTTCACGTAGCATGTGTACGATGGCATTTGAGATTTGAAGTTTCTAAAATCGATTTAAATATTTTATCAACATAATTTACATCGAAGAGAGAAACGGTTTAGAACCAATAATTTAAGAACAAATAATAAACGAAACAAAAAGGATTATTATTTTATTAAAAAACGAAATTTCAATAATTACTCCAAAAACGTTTACGTAAAGTTTAAAATAAAAGAAATCGACTCGCATGCAAGGAGTTGCGGAATAGCCGATTTGATTTATCGATTCTGTAGTGTCATTATCTATGAAAAAGTAATCCTTTTTACGCATTATGTAGTTGGGGTAAATTATTTTTATCTTTATTATTTAATTTTCTGTGTACTTAATATACTGTCATTTTTACTTAAAATTATAACTGCAACAAACATTGTTAGTTTTTGGTATATTAAAACAAATCTACTGTTTCTTTTTCAAACCTGGTTGAGAGATTTGTTAAAAACACGCATGCAACGTAAACATTTGAAATGCCACAGTACCCATGTGAAATGGACTGTAAGAAGTTGAAATGAACATCGCAACATTATTTATTAATAAAAAGATCGAACAAACCCAAAGGAAAATTTTACTCGATCTCATTGGTCACGAACCAGCCTCTGTCGCTTCAACATGGCTATCGCTCAGCTAACCTAGCTTTATCAATAATAATAACAAATTAGTAGAGTATTTTCACAAGAAATAGATGAATATCATGATAGTAAAAATATCATGATATTCAATAAAAACATCCAAACATTTGTCAGGTGGAGCTGACGATGCACGACGGTACAGTGCGCGACGTTTGCTTCATTGAGGACACATCGAACAAGACGAGTCTGCTCGTCAGTGGAGGCGCTGGCGACTGCAAGATCTACGTCACAGACTGCGCAACTGGCAAGACATTCCAGGTACGTTTTTGATTTTATACACGAGAACTAAACGTACGCACTTTTTCTTCATTACTGATTATTTATATAACCAGTCAAAATAATATAATAAGCCAGCAAAATTGAGATGGTACCGGTTGCCAGTTCACAGTCGATATGTATATTTACACACACTTGAAGGAAGTAATAGTAATTAGTAAAGTAAAAATATAAATAATAATATAAAGTAATGCCCAGTTTAGCAGAAGTAGAGCACCTTGTGTTGTGTAAGAGTTCGTCCAGGGAAGCGCTGCCACCTTACCTATTTTTGCCGTTAATACTTACTATTACTGCATCACTGCGTTCCGGATTTGAATGACAAGGGTACAGGCACATGGAATTTATCAACTTATGTCTCAAGGTAACGGGCGCTGTGGCAGTGCCTCTCAGATCTTTGCGATTTAAAGCTCTGAAAGGCACTGCAACTGCTGTAGTTAGGCGCACGACTTGTTCGTTCCGTCCCTTGGTATTATAAAAAAAACATAGTATAGATAATACCTCCCTTTGAAATATAGTAAGGTGAAAAAAAGTAATTGTAAGTAAAAATATATACATTTTTGACTTTTTATTTTTAATCATTACCTAAATTTTAAGAAATATACATTGCCTATTCCGGTTTCTGATTGTAACTAACACTTTCTAACATTCTATAGCATCTAATATAATCTCAAGAAAAGTTTTGCGTTGAAAACTTTCTGATTCCTACTATGTCTATTATATTATTATCTACTATGCTATTTCTATTCGACATAGATAAATGGAAAAAAAACTTCTTCGTTCATCTCAATAATTTAATTTTTTTTTATCAATGAAGGACGTTTTGAAACAAAAGTATGTAGAGATCTGAATTTTAATCGTCATGGAACATTTACGCTTTTTAGTGTCACAGGTCGAACATTTAAACTCTATAATAAAGATAAGCTAAATTGAAAATTACTGTTTGCAACAGAGGACTAAATCTTAAACAGATAACATTACAGTAAACAAGGGTATCTTGTAGTGAGTAAATGCACCATGCTTCACCTCGGGCCAATGCAAGTTAAATACAGAGGAGTATCAAGTTGATCCACAGCTATATACACTTTCACAAGTTTCACAGTTTATTGCTTAGTAATTGTAGACTTAGGTCAACTAAGTACTTATTGGGAAACGCGAATGTTTGTATTTTTCCTTGTTCTATCCAGCATATAATATGTACATTTTGTAAACTAAGCCAACGCAATAAATAATGTAGTACTGTCTGCGAGTGAGGCATGTCTTGGTTGTGTGTGTAGGGTTTAGGATTACAAACGTATTCTGTGTATAAAACGTAGTAAACATCTATATATCTACCGCCTACCTACGTATATATATAATGTCGTCAGTGGCAAGGCAAAAGTCTAACAAACACTTCTCTTAAATACTTGAAGTTTACAACACTTGAATTGTACCAAAGCGATGTTAATCAACATCACGAAAAATTGGCGAATTATTGGATTAGTGAAGCGTCCCAAAACGGCTCAGATCGTTATGAAACTTGATAAATGGATGCAGAAAAGATCTAAATCTATAAATATGTCTTACTTTTGCCTAGTGACGCCTTATATTTCAGTAGAATTGCTGCGGATATCTAGTTACTATTCTGTATTTGCACTATTCGGCCGAATATCGAATGTTAAATCACTATTCGACCGAATACCTACAACAGAAGAAAGAAGTAAAAAAAATACGGAAAAATATCATATAATTTGTCGAGAATGCGCAGTTTGTCACTTAACTAACTAAACAAAAAAACTAACTAACTAAAATTCTGATTTGAATTGTAAGTTCACTCAAAAGTGTAAACAAGCGGTATCTAGCTCTAAATATATTGACAATGGGACAATCAAGAGCATTAAACGATTTGGCGTTTGATTTGTTTTTATTTATACAGGCATTAAGTGGTCACTCTGGCCACGTGTTGTCGTTGTACAACTGGGGTGGAGCGATGTTCGTCTCTGGCAGCCAGGATAAGACTGTCCGCTTCTGGGACTTGCGCACTGGCGGCTGTGTCAACATCATCTCGCCTCCTGCCGCACATCCTGGCAAGGTAAGATTTTTTCAGAAAAATGATTCGTCTATACATGTTAAAATCGTAATGCATGTTTAGCAATGTACAAATTAAGGTTTAAGTGTCGTCTGTTTCATTATCGAGTTTCAGGGATCTTGTTCTAATGTACGTGATTCCACGTTTATGTATGGCAGGGTTCAGCCGTGGCGTCGTTAGCGGTAGACCCGAGCGGACGGTTGTTGGTTTGCGGACATGACGACGGCATTTGCGCGCTGCACGATGTACGTGGCTCGCGTGCGCTGCAGCGCTTCACGCCGCACTCGGGAGACGTACGCAGCGTGCGCTTCTCCCCAGGCGCGTACTATCTGCTCACTGCGGGATACGACGGACGAGTTGTATTGACTGATCTGCAGGGTAATTATTACTTACCAAATAATCAACACAGCTCTGTAAAACAAATGAAGATAAATAATCATTAAATTTTTTGCTTCAGGTGACCTAACATGTCCGTTGCCGAGCGTGCCAGTGGCCCGGCACCCGGATAAAGTGATATCTGCCCGATGGCATCCGGACGACTTCTCATTCCTCTCCACATCCGCCGACAAGACCGCGGTATTATGGACCATCCCACACGCTTAACCTGCGTTACACCTTCGGCCACTGGCCACGAAGAGCTTCGTGACGAATTCTGATTAACTAATCGGCTCCATTTGTTGTGGTTTTATTATAACACAATAACTGTATCGTCGTACGAATAGTTTTACGAACTAAGATTTAGTTTTTATAACACAATTAACAAACTTTGTCCTAATAATGACAAGGGCATATCTCTTAAGTTCATAGATACGCACAAGATAAACATTATTATACAATAGCACGTCATTGGAAACCTTTTAAGGAGCTCCACACATCTGGTCCTCGTTCTCGCACGAGCCCTGGGTGCGTGTGGAGCTCCTAAGGTTGCACTTATGAAAGGTATGAACGTGTATTTGTAGTTTTCTTTAACATTAATACACGTTGCATACGTGTGGAATATGTCCGTGACAAATAGGCCAGCTAGGCGCCACCAATTTGCCACTCCGTGATTCAGTATGAATGATAGTCTAATTCCAAATTAAATTTAGGCCTTTCGTGTAAGTATGTTGGTGGCTTATTATATATGAAGGACGTACAAGAAAAATGCAATTTTGGATAATTTGAAAATATCCGATTATTTTTTGTTATACAAGAACTACATAAGACAATAACTTAATAGGAAATGTACTACGTAATGATCATCGTTAAACTATGTTTTATATTATCAATGGCGCACTACTTGTGTAGTGTACAGCGTAAAAAATCCTTTTACCTTGTTCCGCCTGATGTGGTTCCGTTCAATCAACTGTTCCGAACAGCTGATACGTCCAATGGCACGTCCGCGCGTTTTCGGATGTGGTTTCTAAATATATTTATTTAATAAAAAATATTTTTTCTCTTATTTTTTCTGACCAATACTTCATCATTTCTGATCTTCAGAATTTTAATTGTGCTTTTATTTACACCCGCTGTATAGTAATAAATAATTTAGCATAACCTAAATAAAATGCAATTGAACAAAATACAGTAACAAACTTTAATGACGTACTAAATGCCTAATTGGTTTTTGCAACTGATTAATTTTATTTGCCAACTTATTTATTCTTACAATGAACAAACTTTATACAGAAAAAATAAATTAAAATTATTACAGAGAACTAGCTATAAAACAACACGCATTCTTAGACAACTTCGTTTGATTACCCACGCGAAGAAGTGGTTCATTTGCTCGAGTACAATACTTTAGATAAATGTGTAATATAAACTGACCTTAATCAATGTTGTGTGCTAACTAAGTGTTTATATGTACGATGCGTATGGTTTAAGGACTGACTGTTAAAGTTCATGAATATACACTCACTGGCACATTTAGCAGGACATTTGTAATATTCGAAAATAATGAAGTGTCATTTCAAAGGCTTGGCCGGTTATTTTCATTTTTAATTCAGGTCTAATTTCAAAATAAAATAATTTGTCGACTGTCAGTTTTAATTTTTTTTAGTTGCTACTTATCTGTCCAGTAGTTCGAGGTTGTTATTGTGTTCTTGTAAATTTCACTAACTTTACTTGATTTCTTATTTGTTAAACTTTGATTCTGTCAATATTAAAAACTGTTACAATTTTATAGTTATCAGACCTTTCTGTATTGTCACAAAATAAAAAAGGTGCATTTTGTGTAATTTCGATTTTTTCCAATAAAAGTAAGGCTGTTTGTACTAAGTCGATGTTAATATAATTCCTACTTTGTGCCTAGTACTTATTTATTTAAATATAAACGTTACTATTTTATATTCTCACTTCTTTTTTGCTCCGTTTAATCTACCGGTGAACTATGATGAAGGCCATATGCTTCACGCTTTTGTTTATCGTTTATGTCACACGTTTAGATTGAATGGTTATTATCTAATAAGAATACCGAGAACAATCTGTTAGCGCTTCCACATGCTCCATAATAACATATAGACTTGAATATACAAACAGACTTGTTTTCACCTCTTTAATGGACTAACTTAATGATTATAATTTGTTCTAATGAAATGATGCTTTCATGAAGCTTTGTTATTTCATACCGACAATTGAAACAAAAGCTTTAAATCTTTATATAGAAAGGTAGCCAACTATTGAGAACAATAAAATGTTTTGGTCACCGCAGTAAGATATGTTATAAAAGTTGCACGCAAAGTTGAACAATTGAAAATTATACATGCTGGAAAAATTCTTCAAGTCTTCGCTTTATCAGTCCTCCTGACGAATCGTTATAGCAATCAGAGGCAATTTTAACAGGGAATCGTATTAATGGTTTACCACGTCAAATATTGAGCTATATCTTGTGACAATCACATAATAAATAAGTTATATTCATATACAAACAATGTAGTCAAACAATTAATTGAGAATATTTTGTCAAAATTTTCGGATACTGCAGTGAGGAGAGGGATATGAGTATGTCATAAATTATGACTCATAATAAATAATTAATTTTGTACGAGTATAACAGTTTTAGATTATAAGATGTGACTGCTACTATGTATATTATCGATACCTCGAATGAACACTACGCCAATTAAATTTTTTGGTAATCTTTGTTTTTATTTGCTTTTTTCGAATTTAGTTTTTTGTTTCTCTGATTCCCCCCTATGCAATTCGGGAGGGGGGGCATAGTAAATAAATTGCCTTAGTATTCATTGGAGGTGTGGTTATGGTGGTACTCACGAAATACATTAACATAAAAAATCATCTTATCAAATGTGACTGTATATCGTAAAACAAATAAATGAATGCCACCAAAATGGCATATGTAATTAAATTAATAAAGATTAATAAAATTAATTATAAAATTAAATCTTAAAGATTTTAATGTTACTTAATGTTAAATTATACGAAGTAATGCATTCTAATTGTAAGGACTTGGCACGAATATATGTATTATGAAAAGTAAGGCTACACCTAAACCATTGTTTTTATAATACGAAATTCATTGTTTAGACAAACAAACAATGATTCCTCATACATTAGTTTCTACTTTTTATTATATTTGTGCTTTGTCTATAATGCACACAATGGTATAGTTATAAAATATTTATATTCAAAATTATGATATATTGTATTCTTATGTATTATGCGTATAATGTTATAGTTTATGGAAATTATATTTAACAAGTCGATATTCACCACATTGAGTACATTTTATTTAAAAATAACCATCACACATCTAACGGGGACTTTTTTAAACGGAATTTCGTTGACGCGAGTATCCATTGTAATTTAAGAATATAATCATATTATTTACAACTTTGTCTTTGATTTTTTAAATGTGTGGACGTTCGGCTGAACTAAAACTTACCTACCCTAAAAAAGAATAATCAAACCCCTCACATGAAGCGCGGTCCACACCGCGAGCGAAACTAAGCAAAGTTAGTATTAGTATGCAATCAACTATGCAACTTAGCTCGGTTGGCTTAGTTCGCAGTGTGAACGATGTATAAAAACATGCTGCGACTACGTGCTAACTTAGCTTAGCGTCTCTCGCGGTGTGATCTGCGCTTAATTATGTTTTAATATTAAAAGTTGAAATTATCAATAGTAATAATAATAAAAACTAAAAAGTGCCTAAAAAAATTTTTAGGCACAGTCACATAAACAATATGACATTCACGTAAGTAAATTGTTTATGACTGGAACCGACAAAATCACGAGTTTTTTAATGCAGTCAGATCTATTATAAATAAGTTTTGAACGGCGTAATGACTAAATTAGTATTTTACGACTAGAATCAACTAAATAAAGACTTCTTTTAGTCCAATCAGATCTAAGCTAGATAATGTGGTTCTCGAGATTGAAAAATGATGTTGCTGGAATAACCTTATTCCAGTGTGGACAGTGGAACGACTTTAAAGCGTTGGATCGACTAAATATAGATTTTTTTGAGACTAGAACCCAGTAAATGATGAAGTTTCTACCTGATCAGTAGAATTTCAAATACTCGATTATGGTCATGTTGGAATATACATACTATATTTCAGTTTCTTATTATTATCATGCGATACATTAAAAAGACGTAAAATAAAATCAAATTATTCAATTTTATGGTCTAACCGTGGTCCAAACTGTGGTCCACTTCACATCGTGCCCTGCGTGCCGTAACGTCTGCCCGCTTGATGATTTTAACGGCGGCGGCTAATATCGGCGGTCAGTGTAGTTCGAGGTCGCAATAATATAGTGTATGACATAGAAATGATAAGAACAATATTTATCTATTAATCATATAGTTATTTATTTACTAACTTTATACTGTATTCCACAGTTGGCTTAGTGCCGGCTGTACCTATGGTGGAGTGTATGTGCGGCACATACGGGCACAAGTTCTTAACGAGGTTTCCACCGGTGACGTGTGACAAGACGAGGCGAAACGAGAATTGAAATCTCGCCAGCTAATTTCCACTATAAATTGACATTACCATTAACGGTGCTGTTTAGTTTGTCTAGCGGTAAACACGCGGCTGAAGTAACACGTCCCGTAAATTATTATTATTAAATATGTTAACGGCAAAAGATCTTTTAAAAAATTTGTAATCATAGGTCACCATTTCGCGATTTATATTAATACCCGTTGCCAGCTCGCGCGAGAAATCGTGTTTCCGTTACAAAGTATTATACTTAATGTAGGCAGTAGGTACATAGAGTATCATACCATAACGTACAATATTACATCAACGAATATTTCAGTTCACGCCTCGTCCATCGTCAATCCAAATCCTTTCCACCGAAGATGGGCAGGAGAAATTTTGCCATACAAATTTCAATCCTCGTCTCGCTTCGTCGGTGGAAATATACCTTTAGGGGGCGCCGAGCGCCACTTGCCGTGAAGTAAACGGGCTATTGCTTCCCAACATCATTTATGATTGCACCATTTGCACACGAAGTATTCCGATCACCGACCGGAGAAAATATAACTAAGTATTACAATTAGATCGCGTGCCTACAGGATATTATATTGCATTTGGGCGCCACATGGGTTAGCGCTGGTGCTGTGTTGGCTACTTCAAATCCACTTTGTGCCTGTGATCCAATTGACTGTCTCACCTGTGTGGACCATGGGCTTTTCCGAAGATGATCTACAGGTACGTAACGTTCAAATAATCGCACCATTTAAGTAAAATAATCGTTGAGTGGTTATGGTACGTACTTAGTAACTTACTAGATGTCTAATATGGTTACACATTTGTGCATATATTTCACTTACCTATAGGTATTATTGGTTATAAAACATGCCTGTAAGTAAACGTGTTCAAATTATATAATTTGTGGATACACATATGTATATGTATATATCTAGTTGTTAGTTTTTCTTCTTCTTTGTAATGTTACCATCGATAACATCGATGATTAAACCAATGTCTAGTTAAGGAACGCACGCGTTTTTTTACTCAAAATTTGACCGGTGAATTTCGACAGAAATCACTGTGAGGAGAATCTCAACAACAGAACTTACACAGACTATTACAGGTTCGTTTCCCTAAAAATGTAAAATAAAAATAAAATAAAATACTATGACAGTCGTTCTAAAAGATTCCATTAAACGGGACGCTGTGAATGCGCGCCTCACGTGACCGATAATGGGTAGGGTCAATAAAGAAAATACAGGACAATCAAATAAACACAGTTTATTATGTAAGCAGTAGGTACGTCGCTCCGAGCCGACGTCTGCAAACTCAACAGTACGGAGAATAATACATCGAATGAATAACTACACGATGGCATTAGCAAATAATACCTAGGTACAATACATAGATGTTACACATTAGGAATATTGATAGAGATATTTTTTTTAAGTTTCCTTTACATGAAACAAACATTTGTTTAGGTCCTTAACATACTCCTTTATACTGAATTTATCAATGTCCAAAACCACGCAATGTGTTTGTGTGAAATCTTCACACAAAAAGGTAAGTGAATTCACTATGGTGAATGGGAAAATTATACTTAGTAATAAACCTCCCTACGAAAATGTTACGTACTTTTGTTCCAGCTTTCCAGCATAACCTATTTAACATAACCATAATATATTTAAAAACTCTGTAGAGCGGTCATTTTAGAATACTACATAGATTTGTCTAAAAGTCATTTTACAAGATAGAACAAAGATTTGGCATTAGCGTACAAATTTATAACTTATCATAATAGTTAGGTAGTTAAAATTAAATAGTCTTTCTGTGGCGCAAATGGGTATTACGGTAATAGGCATATTATGTTGCCTAAAGTATGTATAGTCACCAATAAAATGTTCAGGCGGGTTAAAGAAACCGAAAATATCCACACGTCTCAAGTGGCCACTGTTGTTCTAACTAACGTTCAGAATGCTTACACACAATCGTCAAATTCAATATTATGGCCATGTGTTCAAGGTACATTTTTCAATTGTTTTCAGTATCAATGTTAACTGCAAGGTGCGCTGTTGATTAATTGATTTAAGTTTATTTTGTGAAGGATAATAGAGTGAACAGACTCATCCAAACTGCTCAATTTTATTTATATGTTCACAGCACTCAAAATAGAAGTACTCAAATAAATAGGAAAAAAATCCATTTATCCCATTTGATTGAGGTAGACGTTTAGGATAGATAGAATAGACTTTTTGGACGTGTAGATATTTTGGTTAGTTTGTTTTATCAGATTATTTTCATGTAGACTGTATTTAAGGTAATGGCCAATATTAAAGTAACATCCATGTAACATCTAATAAATTCAATAGAAATATGCAATAACATTAGCTGTTTACGTACGTAACGTTAGCTGTTTACGTAACGTTGCGGTAATTAATTTTAAATATGCAAATGAAACAAGTAAACCGCTCGTATATAAAAGTTTCACACGATGACAATTCAGCAGGCATAGTTCTAAAATATGTCCAGCATTTTCATTATGCTCACAGTGTACAGTTGGTTATATAATGAACTTTGTTGTTGTTTTGTTGTATTAGAACGGAAATTTTACGACGAAGGTAGCGCACGTTCTAATTACCATTTCATGAATATTGAAAACGTGCAGTAGCCTAAAACCGTGTCAGCTTTGGAAAGATAAAAAAATATACTTACTGGAGAATTTTATTTTGGTTATACTTTATTGAAAATAGAAACGATTCATAATGCTAAAAACATTGTAAAATCAGTTCCTTGCAAATTCCTGGTAAAAGTAGGTAGCTGTGACGTAAAAGATCGCAGTGTGATTTAACATGAAAATGGTGTTTATTATTTATAATATCACCGCTTTTTTTCTATTTTGCCCAATTTTCGGCAATTATCGTCATCTGCGTTCCGTATAATATATCCTCATAGAAATTTTCATTTTGTTAAACCCTCTAATATGTGGAATTAAGTAACCCTGTAGCTGTAGGACATTAATTGTGGTATAAATTAAGTTTCGCTTAAACTTTAAACATTCTAACATTTTTTCTGGTACTTACTTTAAAGTCTCTTTTGAATTCCCGACGCAAAAAGAGGGGGAATATTGTAATGTTTTTACATTACAATAATCAATATATGTATACAATGTAAAGTTTGTGCTTGAAGCATCGGTCTGTGTAACTGCGTGTCAGCCTGTCTGTGGCATCGTAGCTTCCAAACGGACGGACTGATCACTCTGCATGTTTATTTGAAGGATAATTTAATAAGGATGGTAGGAAGCTATGTTTGATAAGCATCTGTTAAGCTGTTTAAAGATCATCAGCTTTTTTTTTAAATATCAGGTGACGGGACGAACAAGTTGTGCGCTGGATGGTAAGCTACACGCCTGTCCCCCTGTATTATTCTTATATCAAGGAGAGTGTGCGATGGAATTGCATAGTTTAAATGCGCCTTCCCCATTCCATCATTGTGGAATTAGACGTAGGCTGGGGTTCCTATGTTGTGGATATTCTAAATATTCGCACGAACCGTTTCGTTTCCATATTTATATGGTGGACGGCTAAGGAGTGGAATTCCCTCCCTGCAGACTTGTTTCCCGAACAATATAACTTGGGCCTTTTCAAGGCTAGAGTGAATAGGCATTATATGTATGCACGCTATGGAAAGCGACGTCATCTTCATCAGGTGAGATGCAGGTCAAATGCGCACTTATTATAAAAAAAAAATACATATTTTACTTTCATTTGTCCGATGTATTTGAAATGTGTTATACTGTGGAAATCCGATGACATTA